AAGGAAAGGAAGGATTGGAATACTGGAATACAGCAAAAGAAAGTCTGTTTTGATATGAAGACGTCTCCGAATAAGGCCGCCATTTTTTCTTCGCGTTTCATGGATCTTACTACCTGTGAGCCCGAGTGGCCTATTTCCCGCGAAAAAATATTCTGAAAATAAACCGTTCTGTGAACCGTTCCGTTCATTGTCTCAGTATGAGAGTTGAATGTTCCAAGTAGCGGCATTAAATAGTCTAAGACAATGATATAAAGAGAGGTATTAGTCAGCGTTCTCATTGTTCTGACGTCTGTCAAGTTTATGTCAAAAGCACATCAGTATAAGGATTTGTAGCCAATGCTTCTCGACCTACGTCTCTAGCGAATTAAAAGACGCTGATCAATATTAGCGAGCCCGCAATGTGCTATGAATATCGGTCAGAGGATTCTTTGGTGCAACACCTGTCACTTAAACATCTCTACGTGAATGTCAGCTCTGACAACAATGCACCAGCGCAGTTAAACGATTGCATCGAAGGTTTATTACATTTAGGACTTTATTACATTTAGGACAGTTATTACATTTAGGCCTTACTCACCACATACCTCAATTATTAGGACATATTGGGCTACAAAATGTGAAAGTAGGAATGAAAGCAAATTTTGGGTGACTTGCCGCAGTTTGTCTGATGTATGTTGACATTAGCTCTTAAAAAGGCGCTCGTAGACAGAATATCGATGTTGCTGTTTAAGGACGTTTAGCTCTGTGTTAATTAATTCAGTTTTCCAGCTACTCCAATATGAGAAGCGATAAGGTTTTGAGGTAAAGCCTAATAACCAAATCGACCTTAACAGAGTAGTGAGGATCGTAAAAAAACAAGGAGTTCCTACATCAACCAGCAAAAGTAGTGCATTGCAAAATCATTCATGCAGAACCGCAGCTCTGTTTGTTTAGGTACAGAATTCTGATTAATTGTTATTACGTTTTTTTAAGCCGGGTTCTTGCAATGCATTTCAGTAGGGAACTCTATGATTTAGCTTATTATTTATTCATTTATCTAGTCTGTCCATCCATTAATCCATCCATTCATCCATTCACCTATCTATTAATTAATTAACTAATTCATTTGTTTTGAACCTGCTTGAATCCAAAACCAATCAAGCTTTGACCCCTGGTTGTTTTGTTTTTTTAAAGTACATATCACGTGAGAGTACTCGAGAGATTACTGAAAATTGGTCTCATTCAGATTTCACGTGATCTATTAAGTATAATTATTTTTTGAGGACATTTTCCAACTTGCTATTTCTGGCATTTTCATGTCAATCATCGAGTATTCACATAGAGGTTTAGCAAAAACATCCCAACTTTTATTTGAGTTCATTTTATTTTAGTCCGCCATATGAGCATTCCTACTTCTTTCGCGGCCCTAACTCAGAAAATTCGACCTAATAATGTATTACTTGGATAATTTTGATTAGTAAATAGAACTTGCTAAATGAAAGTTGGCCAACGAGAGCGAATGCGAATAATTTCTTCGTTGTTTATGAAAAGGAATGCTTAACCAAAGCAATTTTAAAAATAAAAGTAAAATACCAAAAATGTTTCATTTGGAAAGGAAAAATAAAGAAAGTTTCCCATAAACTCGGGATCTAATGGTATTTCGATGACCCTTTCAAAGTATTTTGCTCGTACTAATCAACGTCCCTTTGATTTCGTGTCTGCTTTCCAGGGATATCGATACTTATTTTGACCCACAAAAATATATATTTCAGTAGTAGAAGGGCTTTTACGTTTCTATATAGTGTCATCTGCACACGAGTGGTGTTAGAAGAATTCTCGCAAGTTCAGGAAACGCTTAACTGCGTCTTGAGAACATTCGAGAATTCTCCCAGCCCCCTCTCAACCAAGGACGGAAGGAAGTTTAACGGAATTAGATTATAACTAACTTTCAGAGTGACTTTTCTTTACGTAGAAAAAAAAATACTGAAGTGGTGTGTTGAGAGCAAGAATGAACTTTTTTTGAGAAAAATGTTCGTTGATATCACTTTCTAAACGTCGTTAGAAAGTTTAAATAGCAACAAATAGGAAGGCTTTCAGGTTGGCGAGGTTTTTCTGGGAAATAAACAACAAACGACCAGTATTTTAGAGCTATTGATCTTCTTTAGTATTATCTATTTGTCAGGTTACAGTTTTTACCTTCAGCTTTACTTGCCTTTCAGCTTGTAACCTAATTTTTTTTCGTTTAGCTAAAATCTTTCGTCCACTAGAACGTCGTCAGAATTCGAGAATGCAATAAACTCCTGTCCTTTATAGATTGTTTTAAGATAGGATACCATCATGTACGAGTTCACGACAGATCTTTGTCTGTAGCCATGCACGGCATGGAGAATAGTGATGAGATCCGAGTTACGATGCTTCAACGGTGTCTTCTTGAGCTCCTTGGGGATGTTTTCATTAAATTATGGAAAAACTAGGGCATTATTCCTCCGAAAGGCAACATTTCAAGCAAGGTTTCCCTTTATAAATCACAAACATGCTTTCACCTAACTGCGTGAAATATCTTTTGCCTTTAAGCCACTAACACGTAGGCTTACTTTTAAGGTTTTTACATTTACGGAACGCATTCATTCCTTCGTTCGCTCAAGAATAAGTCTGAAGTATGATTACATTGTGGCAACATAATAACATTCTCGGACTTAGCGACGCAAGCAGAATTCACATTAATTTGGTTTCATGAAGCAGAACGTCCTAAAAGATCGATATATCATCACGCTGTTTATGTGGAGATGAAGACCTAACAGCACAGTAGGAATATAACATGATAAACATTGCAACAATTACAAAGAGGTAATTTTTTTCTTTGTGTCGTCTTGATACGATTGTGTTGCAGGTGCGAACCAAGCTTTCCTTAAAGCTACGTTAACTATTTCGTTATTTTTTCTTCATTACAGAGTTTATTTTAGGACTTAATTAAACTTCTTATCGTGCAATTAACCCTTAAAGTCAACCGCTAAATATGGTTCTTATCTCGCTTGTGCCTTAGGGTTTTAAGAACTATTTCTTCTTCTCCTTGCTCAACAGACTTTGCAGCTTTTCTTGCATTTGTTTTTTATTCTTCTCCTCCTTCTGCAGCGGCGTATCCAAGACCGACGACGACATTTGCGTGACCTGTCTTTGCAAGTTGCTGAGAGGTGGAAAAGGAGAAAAGATGTTTGAACCAAATAAAGTTACTCTAAAGTTAAATTAAAAATTCAGCAATTACAAAATTGAATTCCGCTTAGCTAGATCTTAAACGGAAAGTGAGTTAAGACTGGCGGCATAAGATTCTATTTACTATTGAGATTTATGTTCAACCAATGTAACAACAACAGTAACAACGTTTTCCCTCAAAACTCTTTCGAAAAGATATCTAAAAAGGCCGAGTTATTACTTAACAGGCTTCTTTTTCACCTTTGGGCTTAGGTTTGGCCTTGGGTGTGGGCTTGAGTGTGGTCTTCGGGGTAGGCTTGGGCGTGGCCTTGGGCGTAGCCTTGAGCGTGGCCTTGGGCGTGGCCTTGGGCGTGGCCTTGGACGTGGGCTTTGATGTGGCGTAAAGTGTGGGCTTGGGTGTGGTCTTTGGCGTAGGTTTGGGTGTAGCCTTAGGCGTTGACTTTGAAGTGGGCTTGGGCGTGGGCTTCGGTGTGGGCTTGGGCCTCCTTGCACACTCTGCTTTGTACAAAAGGTTCGCCTGTTTTGCATCAATGGAACTTAATCCTTTTCGTTGGCCAATAGTAACCTGGAAAAAATGAAGAAAGTTTCTGTTAAAAAAGGGAAACATAATTCTCATGGTCCCATAAGTTTGCAGATCTGTGGAGCTGGATGTGTTTTCGTATGCCAATCTATCGGGCTTAGTATGGATAAGGCCTCGCTCATGTGCTGGTCACGTGATTCAGAGAACGTTCCCCGTGTGGTATATGTGCATATCCAAAAATGGTCATGCTGTCACTAATCTGTCAAGCGAAGATCGCTTTCATATTTATTTCTCAAAAACTGCTGGTAACCTATGTGATATATACAATGAGAGAATATGAACAGGTTCCCTTGAGACTATAACCTGTGATAAGTTCTATTTTAAGAAGCAGTTTTTGCAGTTACACGGCGCATTTACTGAGGCCGAATGTGGCTGGAGTGCTCATTAATTCATTAATTGAATGTCAGGTAAGGAAAGCAAGAAACGGTTGTAAGAAATAACCACGCTTCTATTTTTCTATCCTGAGTAACGTACCCCTGATTTTTTAGCAACTATTGTAGGTTTTCCATTCCTACTGAAAGCTGTACCCCTATAATGCATTAGACTTCCATAGTCGTATGGTGTGCCGAGTGAATCGATTTTTCCTCTGCTGTATTTATAAAAATTAGATTCCATCCCTGTAATCGAATAAAATATACAGCCCGTTAGAAAAGAACTGCAGTTAAAGCGAGGCACAATTTTCATAGTTTTTGTAAAAGTAATATTTCAAACGACAATCCTTTTAGATGATGTAGCCAATCACGTCCACAGACCTTGAAGTTGGCCATTAAGTTGACTTGGAAACTTTCGCTGGCACTTGTTTTTCTAAGTCAAGTTTTATTCATTGACTCTTTGTAATCACGAACGTGCTTTTTTTTCTTCTTTTCGAAATAGTCACCTAAAACCAAAGTTGTTTTTGATTCAGTAAGCTCATTACATCTTTATTTACCGAGTTTGGACTCCAGCCTCTAGCATTAGGAGTTTACCAATAGTTACCTGAAACTATATTAGCACGATTAATCCTGATGAACTTATCTCTGTCAGGACGGGACTGCTCATGGTAAAATCCGATAGCGTGACCTGGAAAAATTTAGACATTTACATTTAGAGCGTAACTCTCATCATAGGATGGAAAGGAGTAAAATGGGGCGGAATGGAGTGGAATAGAATAGAATGCAATGGACTGGAGTGGAATATAATGGAATGGAGTGATTGAAGTGACATGTGGTGGAATGGAGTGGATTGGAGTGGATTGGAGTGGTATGGAAAGGAGTGGGATGGAATGGAGTGGAATAGATTGAAACGGCATATAACGGATTAAAATCGGCTGAAATGAAAGTGGGATGGAATAAAATGGAGTACAATAGAGTGGAATGAAATGGAATTGAGAAAATGGAGCGGAATGGAATAAAACAGAGTGGAATCGAGTGATATGGAATGAAGCACTACGGAGTGGAACTGAGTAGAATGGAATGGAATAAAGTGAAACGGCATATTATGGATTGAAATAGGCTGAAACGAAAGTAGAATGAAGTAAAATGGAGTAGAATGAAATGGAATTGAGAAAAATGGAAGTAGAATTGAGTGGAGTGAAGTGGAGTGGAATGGAGCGAAATGTGGTGACCTTGGATGGAAATAAAAAGAATGGAATGCATACAAATTAAAGATTATTGAATAATATTAAAATTGCACATTTTAGTAAGCAATTTGCAATATTCAAGAACAGTCAACCCTATTTGCTGTTTTGTATGATTGTCGAGTGATGCGATATTTCAAATATACTTACATTTCTTTCTAGTTCTCTCTTGTAATTTCTGGTTGTAAGTCTCATATAACGTACCACTGTGTGTGAAATTACGTTTTCGACAGTTCGCCATCGGCTTGGACAAAATTTACGTACCCATAGAACTAAGGAAATATTTTTAATCAGGGACCTATACCGCCGCGTGTGAGCTTTTATTAAAAAAAAAAATAAAAAAACAAAAAAATCCCCGTAAGGGAGCTGCACGGGGAGGCGTACGTAGAGCCACGATGAGACCCCGCTAGATACAAAATATAATAAGAAGCATGTGATCAACTGCTTATTGACCGAGTAAGGTCACGCCAGACGCGTAATATTTGGTTCTTAGTCATCACGCGTGGACCTCGCCGCGATCGATGCAAAAAAAGCCGAAGAATTTTGTTTTTTAGTAAATGCTTCTCTTCGTTTCTCACACCATCAGTTTGTCAAATGATATTAGCGAAATTGTTAACACCCGGAAGACACTCTACATTTCTTTCTCTTGGAATTAAATCTTTGTAAATTTGATGCTGCTATTTGATAACAGTTCATAGAATAAGAGTCACCTATTTCATGAGAACAGATGCCCTTGTGCCAGCATCCTGGTGCGAGAAAAATATCTTGGCGCCTACCAATTCTTCCCACATATGATGCACATCTGTAATATAAACGGTTTTGATGAAAACTTTTTTCAACAGCTGCACGTTGTAAAATATATCGTTATCTACTTAAATTGATGACCGAAAATTAGGGATAATCATTACGGGGTAATCTTAAACTGCGGCCTATCTGTTTGACCAAGCTTCTGCGTGTTTAACACAGCCTGGCCGACGTTTTAGATTTTCCCTCAACGACCAACCAAACATTCAAACACAACAACAACAGGGTGAATACAAACAAAAGGAAACCAAAACCCTTTTGAAGTAATTGTTTCACTGATAAACAAGATAAATTATTCCAGGGTGGGTGGGAAGGGTGGGGGATGGGAAAGGAACATGTTGGCTAATTCATCCTTACAGGGAACACTTTAATTGTTGAAAAATGAACGATACGTTAATTATTCTTGATTTGATTGACATTTATAAGCGATTTCATTTATCTACACATAATCAAACATACATGTATGTGGCACGTATTTTATCGCTCCATATATGGCACTGTTGCACGTGCTTACAACGGAGCGTTTAATGTGTGTCCTTTGGGAATAAGCCGGGAGCTGTGTGAGGGAGTTAACCGAAGCGTTGTGGTAGGATCGTTAAATCAAGGGAATAAGCGTGACATAACAAGGAGCGTGGAAAAGCTTTTTCAAGTTTTCGACACAACACAATGAGCTAAGAAAATTATATCGGAAAGAAATAACTAACACCAATGACTACAGCAAAACCACCTGAAGCGAAAAATAAACAAAAACAAACCAGCAAACAAAAAGGAAACTGTACACTTACATAGAGGAACAGAAATTTATCATTTAATAACGCTTACCCTCTGCCATATCTGAAGAAAACGTAAGCTTTCTGACTAAGGCTTGTTCTTCTCTTAAACTGAATACAGGTTTTTGAGGTCCAGTCGGCCATCCCAGCTCTGATGGCAGACATCGCTCGGGAATAGCGACCTTCAAAAAAAAAAGGGGTTATTTCTAGTCTAATGACAACGTTTCCCCAGCTTTTTTATATCGCGTCTTAAAACGCAGAGGAGTCCCATCCAGCTATAATCCATTGTTATTAAAACTAATTTTTGAGAAACACATTGATAAAGACAAGGCTTTTGCGATGATTTTTTTTTCACATGATGAATTTACGTGGAGTCCATAAACTTAAAGATCTCATATATTTTTTTGAGTTATTGTGAAATATTCAATTAGACTATAGTTTCAGGACATACTATGAGCTAGACTTAGTAATAGGTTTACAATGTGACATGAACTAACTGAGGCTTGGAGAGATCTGATAGAGGACGACTCCCTTAGGCCATAATTTGGATCTCGACGAGGCTCTTTTGTGGCGAATCCCATCAATATCTAATCCTTCTTCTGCTCTTTCCCGCTGCTCCTCCGGAAGTAGCATGTCTCCTTCAAAAAGACTGGAGTTCCTCAAGCCAAAATTTTCTGAGGACAGGCAAGCATGAATCAGTTAGTGCCATACTGTATTTTACAAAGTTGTGTTATATTCTTCTCACTGAAGTTTTTGCTTATCAATCTTCCCTCTTTACTGTTAAAATTGAGGAGGAAAAAATACAAGGAATCACCGCCAAGTCCAGGCGTGGGGTTGGCCCAGGGATATGACGTTTTCGAAGCAGTTTTTGATAGATAGTATTACGAGCAGAAGTATGTTTAGTGAGACGTCTGCATGACGGCCAACCTCGATCTGATGTTCTGTGAAAACGATGAAATGGCAAACGTCTTAGACGAAGGACTCAGAAAAGAAAGGAAATAGCAAAATATCTAAAATTAATGGTTACTTTTAATTACAGTATGAGAAATGACAACCTTCTAAGACAAAAGATTCAGAGAAAGAGAGGAAATAGCAAAATGTCTAAAATTGATGGCTATTGTTATTTACATTATATATGGTGAAGTTTTTACTCTGACAACGGAAAATCGCGACGGGTTCCTCCTAGGGAAACAAAGTGACAAAGAAAGTTTATTGTGAAATTCTGCTTCACTGGATCGATAAAAATCACACTTGCTATCGTACTCAGAAAACCAAGAAGAAGGAAAATCGGGAATATAAGAAAGATATTCCAATATAGTATTTAAGCTGTCCACAGACTTCTGAATACCACAGTAACAGAGTGTTTTACATTTTATATCAGTTGTGCGGAACTAATTTAAGGCTCTTGAATATTATTACTTGAAGGAGCTCTATTGTTGCTGTTTCTTTTTCTTTACTAATTTTTTTTGAGAATGTCATCTAGCTTTAAATGAGTACGAACACTCACAAGGCACTCGATAACACCACTCTTAAGGTAAGGCTATATTTGGAAAGCCGGGGCTATGAATGGAGGAGAGCATTGTTGCTGTGTAGAAATTATGTATCCATTGCTCAGCACTGGAAATCTGAACTGAGAGGCGATGAGTTTCAAGCCAATCTTGCAATGTTGAATTTGAAGCTTTGTAATTGTTAAGTGCTTTGACCGATGAACGTGGACAGCGCCCCGAAAACGATGACTCGATGACATCAATACAGCAACAAAAACGAGAGTCGTGACTCACAGTGTATTTTGTATCTTAGGAGCCCAGAACGCTTTACTTTATGTAATTATTTTGTCACGAAAGGTACATTTAGGAAGGATGAGCTCAGGATTGCTATTTTTATTTAACACAATAGGAGAAAAAATAGTTGAGTATCAGATCTGTATTATGTATCGATATGAACCACTTTTTGTCGAATGATTGCCCCAATATCCAACCTCGAGTAGCACTTATGACAGAAGTGACGGCAGTACCCTTACCCTAATACAACAGTATTAGATATATTCATCTGGGTTTGAATGGTAGGCTGATTTCAGTGGAATAAAAAAAAACAGAAGTTCTTCGGGTCAAGGTTGAAAGAAACAGTGACGGCAGTTTGTTAAGAGCTTGATGCAAATGGCTAAACGAAGGCAAATATTTAAGAAAAAAATGAAAATTCCAGTCACCATTCTGCAACTTTAGGCTTAAAAGCAGAGAAAAACAAAACTTGAATTTCTATCAGCTGGCTAATCATACCGAATTGAGCTTCCCTGGTGGACAAGGACCTAATTCAATTTAAGCACTTTTAGAGAACCAATTCGACCCAAAAATCTATTCAAAATAATGATGATAAATCATAATAATAAAAATAATGTTAACAACAACAATCTTATTTACAGTAATTATAATAATAATAATAATAATAATTATTATTATAATAGTAAACCGATATTAATACAGCAAAGACATCTAGAAACTATCGTGATTTCAAGACAAATCGATTTGCTTTTAAATCCTTTAGTTTCAGTGTCTTATCTCATGCTTGTGTGATAACTTTTCCAACTGCTCATTTTATTTCGAGGTGCTGATGTTAACTCAAACTCAAGAACTGGTATCTCTTTTATGTTCTTTCTCAGTCTATTTATCTTTAAATCATTGCTTTATATGAAGAGATACAACAAGGCTGAACTTTAACCTTGTTATTGCGTTTGATGAACAAAACATGTTGCAAACGAACGGAATCCAAAACTCGTTGAAAGGTTTACCGCAAATCAGTTTAAATTATTTCTGAAATCGATGCGTCAATTGCGATATGGTTTGTGGACTAGACACCAATCAAATAAAAGACACGTGTGGAAAACATTTCTTTTTGTGAAAAGGAAAGAAACATCAGGTTTGAGTGGCTGTTGCTACTTTGCACTCTAAAAAGAAGACAAGTACTGTGCCTTAAGGGCACCCATTTATCGCATTTAAAAGCCAGCTTTTGCATGATGAATGGAGATCGTGCTCTTGCTAGAGGTGTAAGTAATTATCTTAGCCTTTAGCGTGCTTAAATATTCTGAATCAATTCTACGCAACTTCAAATCATATAACATTGAAAGAATCAGCCGAAACTGGGACTTATCCGGAAAGTTCACGAGGCAATATAGGAGTATTTTTTCTTATCCTGTTTTTCTCACAATAATCATTAATTCTTACATCCTTTTAATGCCAATGCGAAGAAGCAGAATCAAGTTATTCGATCTTCTACCTTTGGAAATCTTAGTTTAAGCTCAAAAATGCATTGAGCTTTTTACTAGTAAGATCAAGAAACAGTTTATAGGATTGTTTGAATATTCTATGCCACGCATGAAGTGTTGGAAATCCGTAAAAAAGCATCAGTAATATTGATAATGATAGAACCTGAGCAACTTTCTATGAAAACAATGATTCATCAAATAAATTTGATTCTTCTTGCAATCTTTGTAATGTGGCCCATGATGAAATGTTTGTAGGTTCCAAGATTGACGATTATTATCTAAAGTTATGAAAAAACAAGCTTTTTTCAATGTTGAGTCTTGCCGTCAGGCAATTGGCAACAATCACGAATGCATATTACTATGTGATACAAACTTTGCCGGGTTATCCATGATTCGAATGGAAAATTTTCATTTAAAGCTTAATCTCACCGATTTTGAAGGTAATCTACGGTAAACCCGAAAGGAAAAATAGTTAAAGGCACCGATAAACAGTTTCATAACTTGAACAAACTCAAACTCATAAAGCAATTAAGCTTACCGTCAGGATTATGTACAGCGGCAAAGCCAGTGTTGATCAATAAAAGGACGCTAATGCACCTCATCTTCTGAAGACATAAATCTGACTCAGTTGACTTGAGCTCTGACTACTGCTAAACGAGATCTTTTCGTAAACGAAATGCAGCAAACACAATTTCAGAACTTTATAGTCATCCGAGCATTCAACATCAATTTATATCGGCTTGTCACGTATTGAGTCAATACTGATCTCTTTTAATTGCAACAAAAATGCATTTATTTAAAACTACTTATTGGCCTCACGTTTCAGTGTTGAAGTGATACGTCATTCAAAAGCATTCCGGAAAACAAATAAACATATCAAAAATGACTGATGATAAAAACGAGCTTGTCATGTCGGTTTGCTTAATAGTTCTCTAGTTGATCTTAAAGTCGTAAATAATGTCTATTCCCACAAATCATATAAGTTAAATTTGAGCAGATTTTAATTCTGCCCATTTATAAAATTAATGTTTACATGTTTGACGTCTTTTTGGAGTCAACAAGTGGCCTTTTATGTTAGAGAAAGTGCAGAGTGGAGGTAGTTGGGCTCTAGCCAGCAGATTTGTTGGTCTGTCGATGAACACTTCAAAGCAATCGATGATCACAATCACCTTTCGATTAAATGTGTATCGGCATAGTTTTCCAAAACTGTTCTCTGTCAGGCCAATGAATAAAACAGAGAGCCTCAGATCCATAGCATTTATCCATGACGAGAATATCTTGACACACTTGAAAGGGACACTACAAATCAGTACGCTAAATCTTGGAATGCAACGTTCAAACGGAGTTTCATCAGAACCATAAAAAATTATTGAAATCTATTTAATATTGTAGAACCAGGTCGTCGTGACAAATGTGGAGCTACATGCTCGAAAACTATCATAAAGACTTCATAGGATGGTAGACTAGTGTAAAAATGAACTTTCTCAGGACAATTAAAATAATATTTGTCTCGGACTCGATGTACAAAGCTTGTAAGCATATAATTGAATTTTTCTGTCTTTGTTTTAGCGTTTTCTGTTCCTCCCATAGTATCTCAAAGTCATCAGTCGAAGTTAATTTGTCTACCTGAATGATCTCGTCAGTTTCTTCGTCACCATCACAGCTTGTACTACAAGAAGGCTCGTTAAGATTGGTATATAAGCTAAATGAGCTAGCAGTTGAAGCAATATCAAGGATAGGGAGTCCACTTTGATTCAACTCTTTTCTTTTCTTAGCGGCTTCGATTTCTTGTCGCTCTAATTCGTGTTTTCTCCGTTCTTTAACCCTTTCGTCTCTAGCTTTTTCTGCTTCGGCATCACTCTCTTTAGGCGTCTTTGATTGTTTCTTTCCAAGGTTAAGAGTTGGTACCCAGTCGAAGTTAAAAGCGTCCCCATATTTTGCAGCTTTTCCGGAAACAAAGTGACGACCGCAGACTCGTTCGCTGTCGAGGACTCTCTTTGTTTTTGTGTCGTCTCGACTGATGGCCGCAATCCAGCGTTTTCTTTTTATTTCTTGTGCGTTCTTCGTGCTCTTGTCCTTGGTTTGTAACGATTTTGGGGATGGAATGGAAGCTTACTTTATGTTTTCCGCCGCTTTAAAAACCACATCCAACAACTATACTGTACGAACCATACTTCACGCTTCTCTGTGATTGTTTACGCTTAAGGGGCACAAAGATGGCGGGTAGCAACCGTTGTCAAGGATAGTGTCAGGTGGGTGAAAGTCAGGAATAGAAGTTTTGAATATATCTGTTCTGTCGATCTTTTATTAAAGACAAACCATTTTTAGGGCGCCGCTTTTATTGAACCAGTTTCAATAACATACAACATGAACTCATGCAACAGCTTGTGGTTATTCAAATGCGCTGTTCTCATGATTCTTGCGCCTGAGATCTTAAGACACGAAAGTTACGTGAGTGGAACTAAGAATCCCCTTTCAAGGAAAATATTGAAGGGGTTTTTGCACAAAAGGAGCGCGCTGAAGAAGGGGAGTTATAGGAATTAGAGTTCTAGGATCATGTCTCACGTATGATCCAAGAGCACCCAGGATATTCAGGTGCATTTTTGCCCTTAAATTTTATTTTTGTTAAAAAAAAATTAAGCATTTTTTTTTTATCAAAGGAAGCCCACAAACCTTCCGGAAAGCCCTTACTTTATTGTATAATCAATAAAGAAACATTTTGTACCAATTCCTTCTTAAAAACGCTACAACCATGAGCGCAAAATGCTTAGAAGAATTTGCTGTTGACTTTCTATACTTGTCCAATATCAACTAGTCTTCTTCCTGAAAACCATCATGTTAGAATACTTCAAGAGGAGTGGAAAAAAAAAGAATTTAAGAAAAATAATTTTTATTTCTGGAAATGAGACACGTTAAGTTCTAACAGCTTTTAGCATCGCTTGTTACAGGTCTTCTCGCAGTATGAGGAAACGAAACTGGGTACACAAGTAAACGCACTTTTCAGAATGTTACAGAGGTTCGCGGAAAGGTTGTCTGTGCAGCTCACTACGATGAAGAAAAAAAAATCAGTTATTAGGTGCTTACATCTAATCAAGAGTTGTTTTTTTAATGCTGTGGGTAGATAATAAAAGTAGTTCCAATTATGTCCTCCCCATAAAAGAGGCAGGGTTCTCTTATTAAAAAAAAAAACAATACAAAACAAAAAACAAAGTATTTTTAAATCAGCTAAATTTCCAAGAAGTATCATGCGCTGTGCGTCAGTTTGCCTGGAATACTTGGCTTATTGTAGCTCACACAGAAAGAAAGGCAAACCTTTTGTATATGCTCCCCAATTAAGACAGGAAAGGCCAAAGCAACTCCTCTTTCCCTCCTGGGAAATTCCCTGCCCCACCCTTAAAATCCTAGATGATCGGGGATTTCATTGTTTCCCAACCGTCTCAGAGTTTTCCGACAAATGAAAACTCGATCGAAATCAAACACATTCTCGACTGTCTGGGATAGTCGGCGACAGTCTGGAAAATCCGTCCCAGATTTCTGCAATAACTGGCGATCACTGAAGAGGGCGGACGCTCCTATTTATACGGTGTCGGTGATTGCTTTAGTTTCCTGCTAGTCGTCAAATTACTTGACCAGCACTCCCGAGTCACAAATAACTTGGGGTCTGCAAACCACCAAGACAAACTTCTGGCGATCTCCCAATATATCGGCAAAATCTGAAACGGTCTGGAACGTGTGACTTATTTTACGTCCCCAGCTGACCATAACAGGGAGAGTACAAGAAGAGGTTTGCAAATTTTCATCATTATTCGATGAGTCGAGAATGTCTCACTATTTGCATGTTTCATCAAAAAGACAGCACATTCTCCTCAGTTCTCTCAAGACACTTATTCTTGTTCTCGTTAAGATCCATCAGTTGAATCACGCAATAGTTTCCAGGTTATAGGGAGATGAACAATTTTTATCGAGGCAGTTTTTAAAGTTTACCTGTTGGTGGTTGAGTAGTCTTTGGCGGTTGAGTAGTTGTTGGCGGCAAAGTTGTGGTTTCTACAGATACAGAAATAGATATGAAAAGTTTCAGTAGAATGTTAAAAAAATATTGCGATGAGGTTTAAATGGCAATAACGTGGTATTTTGTCTGAGATCAAAACCTTTATCCCTTCGAAGACGCGCCGCCATGTTGAAGGTACTCTTAAAACCTCATGATATACGTGAACCACTCAGATATAACTTGGGACAATTAAGCGATTCAAAGCCCTTCCCAAGACCTTTACATCCTGCTGTTTTATGTATGTATATGGTAGAATGGAAAAGTCATGTGGAAAAAAAAACTGAACCGCTTATTTTGACATAGATATACTACTTTACAGCGTTTTAAGACTTTCAAAAAAAAAACAACGACAACAACAAATAAATAAGAACAAGCAAAATATAAAGAAGCAAAAGAAGAGAGAAAAAGTCTTACTCTTAAAGAATATTACATATCCATTTCATCGTCCATATAATGATGAGAGATTTATGATATAAGATTTTTCCCTGTTTCATATTTCATATCGTTATCAAATGTTTCACCTTTTCGTAGGCCACATCGATAAAGAAGATTCGCTTGCTCTGCGTCAACAGGGCTTAAGCCATTTCGTTGCCCAATTTTTTGCTAGGAGATGAAAGTATACAATAAAAGTGAGCTGCAATCGATTAATTTTGCATGATTGAGAGTCGAAGTCGCCAAGTGGCGGTGACTCTACCAAAACTTCTATGTGGTGACAATTTTGCCTCTCGGCTCCAGCAAGAGAGGCAGAGAAGGGAGAAAAAATTTACCTACTAGTCGTGATTGTGGCGTTGGCATGTTAGACACCACGGAAATCGGGGCAAGCTCTAGTAACAAAGTTGATAATAGGGAAACCTTATAATCAAAGATTTAATTAAATGAATATTTTTCTTCATATCAAACTCTGGTTAGTCAAGCTAAGAAAGATTCTGTAGTTGACGTCGCGTTTAGGGGTGGAAATGTCCCTTTACCTCTCCACTGACTTCGAGTGATCTTCCATTTACTACTCAGTTTGACGAACTTTAAAAACCTTGCTTTTTACATACCCCCGTTTGTTTAACCACTATTGTTGGTTGGTTGTTTCTGCTGAATGCAAATGCCCCATAATGCATCACGCTCCCATAATCGTATGGAGTACCAAGAGAATCAATCGTTGACCGGCTGTATTTTCGAAAATTACTCTCTTTGTCTGAAATTAAAAAATACATAAAAATTACGTATATAGTCGACCCTCCCTCTACGACCGCCTCTCGTTTGCGACCACCTCTCATTAGCTGCCACTTTTTCAAAATAGCACAAATTTCCAAGTCAAATCGCTATAAATGGAACCTCTTAAAGGTGAAAACCTCTGGTCAATTGATTTAAACCTCCCATAGGTGATGACTAGCTGACAGACAATCAACTTTTTCTCTTACGAGCGGAAACTGAAAAAATTGATTCAGCAAATGTCGTCAAAGTATCGCTATCGGAGGTGTTTCTCGAGATAGCTTTCTCACTTGAATTAAGGTGTTACCAGCCAGGTTCTTTCGTGTGAGTTGTTCCAAACGCTCTATGTGAGATAAACAATCACCATACATCCTGATTCTTTCCTTCTATACTTTTTGGTTATTTGGACAACAGCTATTGTACTTTCCTTTTGTAAAATTGTCCCTATAATTTATTATGTCATAATCTTTTTAATGGAAAAAGAAAACGCGTATATATGTCATATATTTTTTAAAATTTCAACGTTTTTGAAAACGAGTATATATGTACTGTATAAAAAACATATGTATATTTTTTTCCTGACATATTATAAGAAGCGGTGGGATGATTCAAAGATTGTTCTGCAATGATCAAAGGAACTATATGATGCCAAGCAGCTTTTATATTCCTCCGCACATACTTAAAGACTGCGTTGGACCCTTGTTGCATCTGCATGAGCCTTTTGTAACGGGGCACATGCTTAACAAAATTTTTAAAAAGAAATGATTTGGAAAGGAACAAATCTTCTAACAAAGGCTTAATCTCAGAAGATCGTGGCAACAAGGCTACTCTACAACTTACATTACCCTGTTCTTTATTGTACAGCAGGCACACACAGCGAGTATTGTTTGTCCTCGACTATTGTATTTGCCAAGTTAGTTTTAATTGGATTTTTGACCCCGATAAGACTTCTCATTGTTGACTCTCAATCTTTACCTAAACCAAAGCAGCAGTATAACGTACCTGTTTCAATGTTATCCCATAATATCGTAACAAACTCGTCTCTGTCAGGTCGTGATTGCTCATGGTAGAAACCAAGTGCATGAGCTGGAGAAGAAATTTAATTAGGTTGCGATTACGACAAATTGTAATTAATTGACACAATTTTCAGTATCAATCGAGAAACACTGAAAGATGTCCACAAAGAGGAAGAAACCCAGTTTAACCTAGCATTGAATATGAGGAGGGTTTGTACACTTGGGGATGCTGCAGAGTCCAAGAAAATAAAATTCAATAGAAAAACATTACAAACAGTGTAAAAGAAAAGGGTTTAGATTTGCCAAATACTGCGTTGCCCTAAGGTATGCTGCAAACACTACTCATACCAAAATATCAAGACAAGTCAATTATTTCAAATTAACGTGAATAGGACAATAAAAAGAAGACCTGACCCGACCTTCATGAAAAGATATTGTTGTCTGTTGGGCTTAACTTCTTCTTAAGTTGAGTTTTCCGTATTAGAATTATGCCTAACAGACTTCTCTGAAAATCGCTCTTCGAAACGGTTTCTAAGTACCATTAGCTCTGGAACAATTTGGCCAATATAGATGTAACACAGAAAGACCCTTTCATCGATTTTCAAATTAATGATTTTGTTTTAAATGTTTATTGTTGCCTTAAGTCGCAGAAAAATAACAAAAAGCAGTGATAAAAAACTAAAACCGAGGATAAAAATGAAAATTACCAATTTCGTGAGTTACAGTTCCTCTCCACCAACAGCCGTTACTTAGAGAGATCGGTTGGCGACCTCCACGTCGACCAACATATGACCAGCATCTAATTATAAACAGTGAACAAAGTCAATACTGGAGATGTAAAGAATTCCTTCACAATCCTCTATCCACTAAAACTGTATTCACTTAACGCTGGAATAAAATGCTTTTTATTGAATAAATTAAAATAGAATCATGCCTGGACCTTTTCTTTATTGCATCGCGTGTATCAAGGAAGTCTCCCGCATGTTGATGGCATTGCAGTAAGTTTGATTGGGTAGGAATGACGGGAGCTTAAATCTTATGACGGCACGGCCTTTTCTGAAACGGGTCAGGAAGTCCATAGTTTGAGCTGGAAAAGTCAGATTAATACCCTCGCGATAACTGTGACAGCTAATCAGAATTTCCATACCCTGAACTGTCATTCGAAGGGGACTTATCTTTACCTAGCTAGCATTCTGGCCATAAAATTCAGTATCGAAGGTTATGGATTCTTAATGGTTTTTTCGTCAAGAACAGAGATTGTAATTTCGGGATAATCATCTCGGAATTTAAGGGTATCCTATCTTGACACATTATATCTTCTTGCCTGGTGTCAAACTGTTCAAATTCTATTCTGCACAAATCGGAGTGTAAATGCATGGAGAAGATTTTCTAGTAGTAAGATCCAGCCGCTACTTTCTTGAGGACAGACATGGTTCTTATACCTTTTTTTTCTTTTTTTTCTTTTTTTTTTTTATTCTTAGTTTTAAAAAAGCTAAAAGGATCGGTACCTTGTTCTAAAATACACAACAGATGGAGAGCCGTTCGACAGAGAACCGCTAATAGAACATATTTTAAAAATGAGCCATGCATTCACAACTCTTGGAAACAAACCAATTACAGAGGAGAAAATACTCATACGGTGACGTTCAACTGACGTTTACTTACCCTCCTCCATCGCCAAAAATGATGTAATCGCTTTCACCTTCTCTCTCCTTAAATCGGAGACAAGTTTTTGAAGTCCATTCTGCCAATCCTTGATTAATGGCATTCACAGCGCGAGGAATACCACCTTAAAGCAAAATATACCAGGTGGTCAGAGACTTGGGAGTTGTTGGTGTCAAAGTGGATAGAGGTCTAGGGAAACCTAACTGGAGAGGAGGTGTCTGAACATACTTAAATGATATGCTGAATTTCACACATATTTTGATTGTTTCTTACCTATGATCTATCGGATGGCACACGCGTAGATGGGCTCACTATTTACAAATTTTTGTTTCGTTATTATAGAGCCAAACGTGCGCTTCACCCTGGACATAGAAACAGGGGGAGGGGAGGGGAGGGGGGCATGACGAGACAAAAATTATAATGGAAAAACAGCCCGCCATGTTGGATGACATTACTACCGCCACCGCACCCTTATAACTTCGTACCACGGTGGGGGTATGAATTTAGATGCACTTCCGAGGGTTAACCTTGAAAATAAATATACCTGGAGTCACAGAGAATCCATTACAGAGAATTACAGACTTACTATGAACTTACTTAAACTTGGGTGGATTTCATAGGGTACCAATCCATTCGGCCATAGAGAGTTATCTGCTATTGAGCCTCGTTTTCGAGAGCTGTCGACATCCAGTCCGTGTTCGATATTATACACCTGCTTTTTTGTAAGACGCATGTCTCCTTCAACTAGGATTTTGCTTTCAATACCCTCATTTTCTGAAAAACGATGGAAATAAAGATAGCTTAATCTCATCTAAACGCGTGATATAGCAGGCGATATATCAGAGACTTGGACCTCACAATAGACTTATAATTATTCTGCTCTTATTTGGTTTTATATCCTTATGGCTTGGGAGACTGTCTTCCTTTAAGCAGTTTGAGTAGGAATGTGATAGTTTCTGCATTTTTTGGGCAAAGAAATAGTCTTTCCTTCCGATAGATCTATCTAATATCTTTCCGGAAATTCCGATTAAAATATGCAATATCCGTGGTGTGTTACACATCCAACCCTTAGAGATACCGACCGTGTAACTCTATCGATTAATATTTCATTTTTAACTAATACTTGAATTAACTAATCAAATATTCAGGCCGTCCTTGAAATTTTAACCAAACCACCGTACTCTTCATTTTGTTCCAAAACCAAGCAAGATAGGTTTGCTCGTGAGATGCAACATTTAGCAGAAAGCCACCTTCGCTTTGTAAATAGACTTAATGCTGACATTGAGATTTGCTGAAAATCTATGTCGCTTGTCACGCTTTCCTCGATATATCGCAAAGAAGGTCATCTCGTCTTGGCCTGGAATTAATTTGAAATAAATTCTCCCAACATAAAACACGAGGGACAGCCGGTCATTTCGAAAGAAAACAAGAACTGCTTTTAGAATGGCACGTACAAGCCCGAATCTTAAGGGAATTTGTATATTTAAGACAACCTTTTCTTTTTTTACTTTAGTCGCACTTTGAATTGAAGTTGTTTGTATAGGGATTTGAGTGATCGGTATGATTATTTTTATAGCGAAAGGTGTAAGTGCCGCACGTAGATTGGACGAGAAACTAAGTGAAGTGCAGGAAGTCAACCAGATTTTCCCGATCGCTTGCAGGATGAAATTCAAATTCACTAGCCATTATCATTATCATCATCCAACTGGTTTGCCGTAGACTTTTGGGAGTCAACACAACTTAAATCCGACAGTTATGTTTATGCCCATGTACGCGTGTCACATGAACAATACCGTTGGGGCAGATCATTCCAGTATAAGTTTGTATTAACATAAGAAATAAACATGTGCGACGAGTTCTTTTGAGATAATTTCTGATGAATCCTTCTATATCTCTATAGTTTAAAAAAACAAAAAGCAAAAAAATACCGAGCAAAACAATGGATATCTTTGACTTGTTTTCTCGCTTGCTTAATGAGAGCAGGTTCGATCAGTTGCCATTTTTAAGATATGTAAACAGATGCGTTAGTGTCCTAGACAATTATTCAGCGAGGTTGTAACAATAATCCGTAACACATCTGGCTTGTCTACTCTCATAGAACTTCCCTGTGCTTTTAGACTATAAGTTTTTTTAGTTATTTTGATAAGTGGAGGTCATTTCAACCTTTTAACCTCGCATAACTTGATGGTCTTAATGTTAATACTGTTCATTAAAGAGATGTTACTGATCAAAACCCCTAGGGTTAAAAAATTAATGATAAAATTATGTTCATGATGACAGATTTGACATTTTCTACAGTCTTTGTGATTCCTCAAGCTTACCGTCAGCAGTATGGCCATGTGGTGCGCAGAGAACTGTTCTGAACAACGCAAGAGCTACCAACCACTTCATGTCGAGTCAGTTTAACATAAACTGTATACCTGTGAAAATCTGTTGAAAATACAGCGTAGTCTTAAAGTGAAATCGCAAGGCCGCATCTCAAATTTATATAGTGTCAACCAGTTACAGGCTGGTATCGACAATAGCTAATATTGATGCCCACTAATGCATATACAGGAAACTGCAAATTTATCGTTTCGGTATGAGCAATATTTCTATTTGGGCCAAAAATTGATGGACAGTATCCTACAAATCAAGAATTATATTTTATTCATCAATATTTTATTAGGTCGTTCTGCTTTCTTTTAGCTACACTTTTTTTGTATTTATTAGTATTTTAGCGATACAAATTTAGACAAACTTTTCGATTTCGAGAGGTCAAACGTTTTTGACTGTGCTTGAATACAGAATAGCAGGAAATTTCGTACGCACAGTATTTCCTTTAAAGTACATTTCATCAACAAATTCTAGCGTCGCAAGTGTATCAGAGCAAACATCTCCGGTCCACTGGAATGCGCAAGAAGACCGTGGGAACATTAGCACTTACATCATGAAGTTGATATCAACAAGTCAGGATTGCGGCGGAAACTGGACTGGCGACAAACTTACGCAAGATGAGTGTTACGTTAACTAAACTTGGTGATAACTGTCTTTTCAGAACAGACTGCTAGATAAGTTATGTTCGTAACACGCCTAACTAAAAGATCGATATCTCAATTCAATTCGTCTAATCCAGCTCTAATTTCATCGACATGCTATCCTACAGGTGATATGACGTCTTTTAAATTATCTTCCCGTTGTTTCCTTTTTGTTTGTTTTTTACTCTTTCTTCAACAATTAATCAACACTTAAACCTGACAGTGCTCTTTTCCCGCCGCTTTATAGAGAAATTGCGGTTAAGAAGCCCTAGATATCAATACAAATAAGATACGAGTATTTGACCACACTCCCTTTTTTTCTGACCTACATCCGTAGACTCAGAGCATAGCCCCTTTTTAGGTATGAGCAATGGTATTGCGAAAAACTTGAGAGGAAACAGTTTGATGAAAGGCCGGAATCTTCTAAACAAGCCTAAGGGAATGCTAAGTTAGAGGAAGCAACACAAAAACATGTGCTTACAGTGCTGATAATAATTACTTTAAGCGACAATAAAAACGGGAAAAAAAGCAAAATGATAAAACTAGTTGTGGCAGCCTGTTAAAGGTATTTTACTTTGGATATTTCCCACTTTTTTGAGCTAAAGTGAAATTGGGGCTTTTTCTAAATATAATACTTATAAAGGATCCTCTATTTCTTTCTTATGATTCCACTACAATCTAAAAATCGAGGGGCCTTTTTTGATTTTTTTTACGACGTTGTACAACTCAGAAACTTTATTCCCACTAGGGCGCTCTCCGACAATTTCACACGTAGCATGATGTATCCAACTAACATGTAAATTTGAACTAAAACAGTTGTTTAAATAAAAAAAGAAAAATAGTTTTGTCCAATCATTAGCTTAAATAACAATTCCTGTGATTTAGTGTGCAATTCAAATAAAAACCGTCAAATAAATTTATCATAACAACAGTCTTGTTCGATACATCTTTCTCGGTTATGATTATAAGGAAGACTAATTGCGTTTATTTAAAATACAAAGTGTCGAGTAAAAACCAAAATACTGATATTTCTGTGTAGATAACTGCATTCTCCACAGCTTAATTTGCCGGGTTTTTTTATATGAAATTCTTATTTTAATTGGGAATACCAATACAAAAGCTGCTTACTGTTTGAGCAGACGAAACTAGCCAAAAGGAAATGTTCTCAGAGACCTTTTCAGAGGAATGCTATTGAAGAAGGAGAATCGAGTTAAGATGAGGTTTGGTTTGGTTTTGTTTCATTTTGAGTTTTTTTTTTTATTTTGCGTTTTTTCTCAAGTATTTTTGTTTTACTTTTTCATCAGCTTTGTTGTATTTTTTTGCTTTGTTTGTTTAAATGTTGGGAGCCAAAATGTGAAAGCAATAACTTTCTTCGGATGAACCGAATTTTTGAACAAAGAGTTTTATGTTTGCACCTTTGGCTTTGCTCTTTAAAAAAGCGCATGCTCAATTGATCGCAACGCAGAATAACTCACTTTATGATAAATTACTTTTATTCTCATTCATTGGATAGATGGGCACATACATTACATCCAGCTTCAATCAGCCTGAAAAAAAAAAAAAAAAAAGGTTGATGCTGAAAAAGATTTATACTTGGTTCACTATTGATCCTGGCCCTGGCTCAAGCCATTTAGTGTATCGCTGAATAAACAATTACTGAACTGGAAAAGAGACTTAAATTTTTGCCTTAAGTATATTCATTTGGAACAAATCGCTTATATCACCTTTCTTCTACCATAGCAAACAAATACTGAAGGCTACAAAAGGATTAAATAGTATTTACACCTTTTAACAACCTCATATGCCTACATTTGTCATAGCCTATTCTTCTTTGAATAGGATTATAGGCTCAAGATCTCTATCGCGTGATTGTTGATGAAGGCGAAGCTCGAATCAGCTGCCTTGCGAAGTAATCGAGAACAAATAATCTAATTGTTTTTAGTGTAAATCTATCAGACGTGGAAAACTCATCGACAATACAGGTTGGTGTTTTTATTTCATTTTGTTTACAACCGTACACTGTTTGGCTACTCACTTCACATACTTGCTATCACGGATATTTAGCGAGTAGCGTAGCCAGTCATGCTCATGACAATATATCTAGAACGCTTGTAGAGTTCTTTTAATCTTACATAGGGAGATACACATCCGCTAATTAAGTATGCATATAGTCATCATAGATGTATTTTACATTTCTACCCTTATAAGGCAATTTCAAAACATGAACATTAAATATTACTTAAAGTCCAACGTACCCTTTTGTTTTACCTTTGTGAAGTTTATGAACACATGTTGCACGATTTCTTGCAGTTCTGTTTCACATAGTCGTTAGTGGAACAATATTTGGTCCAACCAGGGCAATTCGTGTTTTTGTCTACACAGCTACTGCCACCTATCACAAAAACGATGATGAAATAGATATTAGCTTAAGAAAACCGCAACAGGCCGTTCATCGATTCACACAATTTTAAACGTGATATGATAATGCTAAACCGCGCAAACTACAACTTCTCACTGGCGTAAGCCATTGGCCGTGATGCGATTTTGCAAATTACAATGGTTTGGCATGGTGTGTACTCTTATTGACAATGATATTCGTCATCACGGCAGTCAAAATATTGTGGACTAACGAGGTCAGTGCGTGACCATTGCGTGACACGTTGATGCGAGCAGCTACTGTCTGTGCTCTTATCGACAACGACAAATTGGCTAATCACATTACAACACTACCTGAGCATTGCTGACTGTAGAGGAGATTCATCTGCTTAGCATCTATTTTACTGATGCCTTTTCTCTGACCAATCTTAACCTGTGAAAAAGAAGATATTGACCAAAACCTGATACAAGTCATGTTAAAATTTGTACAAAACTCACTAATGAGATCAAGATGTATGGCGAATAAAGTAATTCAAATAATCGGGACGCTTGTTGTTTCGACGAACTTTAAATTTCGAGTCAGTCACTTTAAATGAGGATTCGTTTTAAACGTTTGAACAGAAATACGCGACAGACAGTCATTCGCACGAAAGTTCTCGCGTATTTACTCTTACACTGCAACAACAACAAAGTGCAAATTCGCCGTTTCTCTATCGTTATTATTAATGCAAACAGTGGGAAAGTTATATCTCTGGTATCATGGGGTTTTGCATCTTGGGTGCCCCATTTAGGTCAAATCTTAGAGTCTCCTGTTTTAACTTTGTCTACATTACCGATATCCCATGAAAAATTCGCCGCAACTGCAATCTTTATCACTGTATGGTAATGCTATCTGATAATACGATCAGTAAAAGTAACTTTGAGGCAAAGATTATACTAATTTCATTGAATATTGTATATTAAACAAAGTTTTTGTGCGACGTACGTTGGATTGTCTAGGAACGATTGTTGGTAATCCGTTTTTGGAAAAAGCTCTTCCTCCATAATGCATCACACTTCCGTAATCATACGGGGTTTTGAGAGAATCAATTGTGGATTTGGAGTACTTCTTGAAATTGAACTTGTTCTCTGAAAACATAAATGAATAAAGTTTTCGTCATTAGGAAATATTTTTTTACAATCAGTATTTATGGTTTCCTTTTTTCCGGGCTCTGCAGTTTTGTGCCACATTTCTTGTGTAGGGAACGACTTTGAAACTGATTAGAGTGAAAGAAGAAATCTTGAGAGGCGTAAATTGTTAAGGTTGTTAACGTTTTTAAAACGTATTTAATAATTTGCTTTTTACCCCTATCTTATATTAGGAGTCTTTTATAATGTATTTATCAGCTAAAATTCGGGTCTAATAAGGTTCCATTTTGACTAACAAGCTTTACGGATTTCTTGTGGTCTTAAAGGAATCTCCGCGTAATGATTTCACTATGCATTTCTTTCCGTTATAAATATGGAACACATGATTATGCCATCTATTCGTGATTACCTTTTGACCACGCTGTCACTTTTATATTGCTTTTTTATCACATTGAAAGTAAAGGTTTAATTTTCGTATAACCTAAGGGAAGGGACGCTTTTGAATATTGCTCGAACTAAATACAAAGGGCACAGATTTCTCTCCGAAAGATGAACCGCTGTGGCGATACATCACTAGATGGATATATCGAAATCGCAGCAGCAGTATTTCGCTTGACCTATATATCGTGATGACGTGTCCCGCGTTTTACATTGCGTCGTTGTAATGGTATTATGCTAAAACGATATTCCCGAGATATCGAGGGAATGTCATAGCGTTCAGCTTTTTAGCGTCTCGGTTCACTTCGCGATATATCGCCGTATTTCCGCATTATCTGGTAAGAATAATATTCATCGAAGTGGAGGTGAAAAGTGATAACTTATTTTTATTTTTGAATAATTGTTTTAGTAAATACCAAACAGACACCTCAGAAACAGTTTATTTGTCTCAATATACCGAAATAATGGTCGGACATTTACTTTTGACGCTCGAATTGCCTCTTCGGCTACTTGGGGTGAATAGTACTTGCTACTCACTTCCGAAATAGCCAATCAGCGGGCATGAAAAGCAGTATTCACTTTTCTGGTTTTTGCTAAAGCATGATATTCGACAATAATTCTTTGTATTACTTTTGCACAGTAATGTGGTTACTTACTCTCGATTATGTTGTCCCACATAATTGTGACGTGGGCATCCCTGTCAGGTCTGGATTGTTCATGGTAAAAGCCCAAAGCGTGACCTAGGAAAAGATTTTCGTTTCTTTATCATCGTTGCATGTTTTAATTTGAATTAAAGGAAGTTTGCCTTTTGCCTAAGTTTGTTATACTTTCTTAGAAATTTTGAAGTCGACACAAGTATCAGTACTCCTACATGGAGCAGTTACCAAACCCTTGCCGCATACACAACAACATTATGGTATCAACTTACAATGTTCCTGGCCAAGGTTCGGAATTATACTTCTCGAAAAGTAGTGGCTGTTTCATATCCCGCTTCGTTAACTAACCAAAAATGTTATAATACATTATGATATTGTTTTCGTAGCAGGGAATTAATACGCGAAATACAGTCAAACCTGTGTTACGCGGCACCGTATTAGGCGGACATCTTGTATAAAGGGGTCATTTGTTAAAGTCCCGAAGTTCTTTCCCCTCAAACAGTGTAATTTCCACCTCTTTTAAGCGGTTGCGACTACCCTTTACTGAGTCCCAACGACTTTTTTCCCATTGTCGCCAACCTGTTTTAAACGGTCACTTAAAGCGAAACCAAAGTCAATGCTAATAGTACTTTTGATCGAATTTTTTGTACATTAAGTGGTCATTTAGTTTGTGTCACAGCTCAGTTGCCCTGAAAGGCTCCATCCATATTCTATTTTAGAACAAGAACTATTAAGAACAAGACTTATGGATCACCTACCGATTTCATGGGCGACAATTCCAGTGTACCAACATCCACGAGCAAGGTTAATGTCTTGTTTGCGTCCCGTCCTCCCAACATATGATGAACACCTGGAAAAAATTTGGAATCAATGGTTCAAATCGTTAGCGCAGCCATATAATTTTCATGAAGTAGCTCTCAATAATCGACCACCATAATGAACTTCAACAACGTGTCAGAAAATCTCAACACTTCCACGGAATATCACACACCATATCTCGTTAGACTAAACAGGGAACAAGGACGTTTTGCGTCATTTTGTGTCCTCGCAAATGACTTTTAAAATAGATTCAAAAACCCAGAAACGTGTTTGCATTTGAAAGGAGAGAATAAGTCACAAAGATGTGAAGGTTGTTAAGGATTGCTTTTTGTATTGCTTTCTGTTTCGAGATGGAGTTTTCAAATTGGAATTTTCAATTCATTCTTCACCATCGCTTTGCTTTGATTAAAGATTTATATATATATATATATATATATATAACTGCAGACAATACTGTTTCGGCCTTCTGGGCCTCATCAGTGCAGTGCTGATGCTAGGATGGAGGTAAGGCTATATAGCCACCCCAAGTGATCTCACATATGTGGTATCATCTAAGCCATGCCAGAGTGCTCAAACTAGAAAAACTAGTGAGCATGCATATATATATATATATACACACCCTTTGCCTAGTTTGAAGTTCGCATAGCTAGACTCCGTTGTTCTCGGCTTGAACTGGATACAAGTGTTCTTTGTCCATTGTTCCATTCCTGCCTTAATCGCCGCCATAGCGCGGGAGTCACTGGCTGTAATTATGGGTCAGAAGAAAATGTGTATTTTATGTTAAGAAAGGATATTTCTGAATTGTTGCGATTGATCATTGCTCTGGTTTTTTCAGAACAGTTATATTGCTTTTACTGCGCTAATCTCTTACCATTTTGTTTGTTTCCTGCTACGGAATGGGGTCGCAATTTATTGAGGAATGATCTCGTTTTTGAATAATTGAACTGTCTTTTATCTGGCCCTATTGATAGAACGTTCTGTTCTACTTACTACGTTCAACTTTTCGTTCTACATTTACTTACCACGTGTTTGTTTTACCCCACCAATTTACACTCAAACTTATGTCTATCACAATAGATATAACACGTGTGCGACGGACACACCACTATTTGCCACTTTAAAATCGTAAAGGAAGAATATGATTTCACACTTCACACTATTTCTCGTTTATTTTTAGAACACACTAATGACGAACTTACAGAGACTAGAGTCAATGACATAGTGCATCACACCACCAGGCCACTGTCGATTTATAGTGGAGCCTCTTCCAAACGGATTGTCCACATCCAACCCAAGTTCAATCGCCATGCGTTGATCTGGATCTAAGATCATGTCTCCTTCGTAGACATCTGGATCATCGATGCCGATATTTTCTACAATGGGAAAAAATTGAGGGGACATTGAAATTGAACAATGATGGACCTTCAGAATTTCAGATTAACCCGATTGTGAAAATAGTCGCAACACTTCTCGGTCCATCATCGCTATCGTCATGTTGCTGACGGATCTCCGTTTTCGTTTCTCTCAGCACACCGTAAAGCTTTTACAATTATACTTATTTAAATATATGGTAGAAGCTTTGGATACGTTTTCCGAATAAAGTCATGAATTAAAAACGTCCACAAAACCTTTATATTTTTCATACAAAAACTAACTTCCATGCTTGAAAAAACAAAAACTTACCGTCAGCGTTTTCTGATGCAACAAGGACCACTCCAAAAATCAAAATGGTACCAAGCCACTTCATGGTGATCTTGTTCTAGTTAGAACAGAGTGAAGGGCTCACTCAGAGTGGAGATTTTATGGAAACATTTGTCAACTCACCTGCCCGTAACAAAAGTCTTCAGTTTGATATTGTTTTCGACTATAAGCAAATTCCTGTTACTGTAGTTGACTCCTCTGTAGCTGTCATTTGTCAATCCACGTTTAAACAGCATTTTAAACACTGCATTTCTGTTTTGCATTGTGAGACAAAGTGTAACACTTTATTTCAATTGCTTTTAGCGCGTGATCATCGTACTAGTGCAGTGCGCTGAAATTACTGGCAAAATCAAACACATTCCTTTGTGCGAGGAAAATGGCACCTGCTACAGCTGAAATATGTCCATTGGGGACTTGGAAAGTCATTGTGAATACCCATTAAAAAGAAGTAAGAGAGATAGCCGCAACTCCATTGACATCTTTAGAAATTTGCGCCTTAAAATAATAACCACTTACTTTCCAGGCTACTCAGAAAATCATTCGCAATACCCTTACAATATACCCAAACAGGCTTACTTCACCTCAATTGAATAAAATGTATTTGCAAATTTGGACAATTACAGCAATGCATTGTGTAAGAGTCTGTAAATAATCATGTAAATATCTCAAATTGTTGACTTACTTTACTTTGGACAATACTCTCTCATGGGAAATTTAATTAGTATTCCTTTCGCTAATTTGAGGCCTTTAAAGAAAAAAGGCAACTTATCAACTTCATCAGGCTTACAAGTTAACATTTGCTTGAATGTCACAGTACTATGCTTCGTTGTCCTAAATTTTATATCGTTGAAAAAAATATCTTCAGTCTTTAGCCGCCGTACATTTAAAATCATCATATTTCAACAGCTTAAATCTGTGAAAACTATTCGCCGTGAATTTCTTTTCATTGCTTTCGAGTTATTTTCATTTCTTTATCTTTTCTTAGGAAAACAATCGTTGTACATGTTGACACTGGCTAATAATATTTATTTAAAAGACTTAACTGGTTTTAAAGAAAAAAGGTTCAGGTGAATCTACATTCGTTCCATTTTTACCAGCTTCTCATGCTTAAAATGTTGGAGCATTGAAATTATTGTACTTAGGTGTACAGTGGGACAATGGAACATTTCGTGATACGAATTTTCTATATCAAAATGAATATACTCATATAATTTTTAGCATGTTAAATTATTTATTCGAATACATTTCGTTGGAGGAAAAAACGGTCTTTCCCGAAACGATTCAAATGACATTAAAAGGGAAGCAATACTTTTGGTATTCTTCTGCGTGAAGCCACACCTATAACTCCGACCATGTAGCCGCTTCAGTATATATTAGATTTCATTCTCCTCGATGTGAAGGGAAATCGATTCACGTTTTTCTCAGTTTTTCATTCTTCCTCGCTTTTACGTGCGCGAAAACCAAATTTTGGGTTCGATATTACGATAAACAAATGTGATGACCCAAGAACCTCTGTGTTTCCAAAACAGGAATCGGACAGGAAAAAGGAATCAGATCTTAGATGAGAACTGACGGCGAACGGTTAACTTGGATTAAGTTCTTGATATCGCCTATTGCTGTAATCAGTCTTTCGAAAATATAATTTTTAGCGTTGACGGAATTCTTTGGTGTAGGACAAGGGCCGCGTTTTTTCATTCTTGGACAAGCACACCAATTTCATATAAATTTCCTACGAGGCCAATGTGAAATCACCTATGAATTGTGACTGTTTCATTTCGCATCCCTCCCCTCCCCCCAAAAAAATGCTTACTTACAAAATACAGTGCTTTGAGACTCTTTATCAGTGTGATCACAATTACGCATTGACTTTTTAGTACGCGACCGAGAAGAAGCAAGGCATCTATGATTCTATTATTCTGTTGCATTTGGTCGTTTACTATTTTCATAACCTTCTTGTTTGCTTTGACAACCAGGAATTACTTGCAAATAAAGGTGGGCATGAATGGAATCAAATCAAGTGAGAGCAGCATTTGAGAGCCAGCTTCCTTTTCGAAGTTGAGAAGAAAAGACATATGGGAATCAAAATGAGGTTTTTCTGCCAGTTTTATTCTATTAACCCACTCTCCATAAAGTTAAACTACAACAGCACTTCCCCGAAAATGGCACATGACCTGCAAGGGAAAACAGCATTGAATGTTTAGGTATCATTGAGAGCAAAACCAAATAAGTTAAAATCGGGTCATGCGCACTTTCAGAAAATATATATGAAAATTTAAGTGAGCTAAATATAAAATTTTCACAAACTATCACTTCTCCTGTTTAGTTTCTTTATAAAAAAAAAAAGTAAATAAATAAATGGGTAGAATTGTTAACGAGAGAATTTGAAACGCTCGAAAAAGGTTGCAATAGGCTGAGCGTGTTTCCAAACATAGCTAACGATGGAGCGCAGGCCTAGGTTTTATTGATCGAACCTCCAGTGTTTTCGCATGGATCGAGCCTCCAGCGTTAGTGATATTTCATTAATCAGGACCCAGAAAGGCAACTTATTCTGCGCGGAAGTAAATTGTAAGCCAAATTTACGACTGACTGTTTTGTAAAAATAACTTGTTCATCATATATTCAATTTTTTTTCCTCCTTATGTGGAAATGGTTGAGAGCCAAATGAGCAAAGTTGATACTTAAAGGTACTGTTTTTAATGATCTTGTTGGTAGATTAAAATTTTTTTGAAAGGAAGACTCTGGAAATTCAGGAAAGTGTTAGTTTTTCTATCTTGACTAAGTATGTTCCCTTAAAAATTAGCCGAAATAGACCAATTGTGAAATTCACATTTGCATAGGAGTACAATCTTACGAAATGCTTAAATTTCTATGCAAGATTTCGTTTACGGTGAGTGATTTGGATTAAATCAAATATCACATTTGAATTTATAAATGTGATAATTCAGATTTAGAACATTTGAAAGTCCTTTGCCGATGTGGATAATGATTTTAAAATTTTGATCACGGATAATTCATCGGCTCCTCAAGCAGCTTAATTATTTTAAATGCAAAACCCTTTCATTCGTGTTATAAATTTCAATGCAAGTCATTCCATTGAGGGTGAAATATTTTCAAACTTCTAAAAACCAATGAGGACCAAGCTGGGGGGGTGGGGGAGATTCCATTGAGCATTTCTTCTGACCACGTCGGAGGTGTACAAGAGTTTGTAAGTTCCAAGACTGCTAAAATTTATTTTAGAATGAATTGTAACCTTTTTTTCGTTGCTGATTAACATAGTTTGCAGGTCTTCTTGCAGTTTGCCCTCACGTATCGGTGATAGCTGCAATATCTCGTCCATCCGCTACATCTGTTATCCTTATCTTGACAATTTCCTAAAAGATAACAATGGACGTTTTGTCAGGATAGACACAGCTGTCAAAAGCCTACGTATGGCGCAAACGTTGAAGTGGCAAGGTTGCTTACTTTAGGGCTGTCAGAACCAAGTTATCTTATAGGAATTATGGGTAACTACGTAAGGCATTATATCACGGTAATTTAAAGGCGTACACCTTTTTTTGATCAAGATCTAAACAAAATGGTAAATCAATAGAACTCCTTTAATGAAATAAGCTTTGTGTTGGAAAAGTCTCGTTTGCCTTTTTCATTATTTTTGTATCCCTATATGGACTTATAGATCTGTTTCCATCTTTCTCCAAAATATTGCATGAAAGAAGTATCTTGTAGTACCCATATAATTCCGATAATACTATGAAATAAAGCAATTGTTGGATGAGGTTGGACATGATATCATGACTTATCGAAGCTGAAGAATTTACCTGATCCTCTCATCAAGCGCTGTAATATGCCAATTATCTCTTACTGGCACTTTACCCTCCGTTTCCCCTAAACACTTTGTGACCCCGCCCCCCTAAAATCTTCCAACCCCCACCCGCCAGTGATAAACAACGAACGGTCTCATATTTTTTTTCATGTTTTTTTTTGGTTGCGCGATGATTGTGTAAGCAATCATTACTACACACCTCCACCTCCCCCTCCACCACCAACTCCTCCTCCTCCTCCTCCACACTGGCTCTTGTACAGAAGATTCATCTGCTGTGCGTCTGTTGCACTAATTCCCCGTCGCTGACCAAGTGTTACCTGGGAAAATAAAATGATAGAACACAACAAACCAAGACAAAAAAAAGGCTTAACGACAATCAGCGATAGTAATGATCAGAAGCATCCAACATAGTTCTATAAGTTATATGCTTCTGTAATTAAGTGAGTATTCATGACATTTGAAAAATGTCTGTGTTACTTGTTTTGGTTAGGTTTTTAAATGTCTGACCATGCACACTTCTAAATGGCATTCAAATTCTCTTTACCTGACTGACTAATAGGACGTGCCCTTTACTTTATCTATACCAGTATGAACACATAAAAGAAAATATATTTGATGCAGTTCGGTAGATCAAATGTGGAAGTGCCTGCTTGATTTTTTCTCAAACTAGGATTTAAGTATATAAATATGTTTAGGATAATAGATCGTAGGTTCTGTCTTTCGACGAAAAATGTCATGTTATTTCATAGCACCTTTTGTTTTCAAAATGGAATTATAGATAATTGAATTTAACGAAGCTGCTTAGCTGATGGAACGAGCAAACATGTGATCCTTTTGGGAGAGCCTGGAGTTCTTTTTTTCCTCCGAGTATGTCTGTGTCATTCACCGTAAATATCATCATTAAAACATGTATTTTGTACCATGCCTTGGTAATACAATACATTGTTGTTTTTAAATGTGAGCCGCTTGTAAGTAATGATGCATTGAATTGCAATTCCTTGAACTGATTTTGCCGTTTTGATATTCATTAATGCAATGGATCGATAGCATCTACACCTAAACTAACCCCTGATTGCTTGGCAACGATGGTAGGTCTTCCGTTCTTGCTGAAAGCCCTGCTCCCATAATGCATCACACTTCCATAGTCATACTTGGTTCCCAGGCTGTCGATAGTTCCTCGGTTGTATTTGTTGAAATTAAACTTGTTTCCTAAGCAGAAAAGAAAAATTAAAAAAATCTTGTGAGATAAGGCTACTTCCGTGCTCGTTCCTTTTAATGAATCGGAGTAGGCATTTATCATTTTTATATTCGAGGACGTCGATTAAATCAAGCAGTCATTGGACGATGTTGAAAAACCGATGTATTGATAATTATACATTTTTAAAAGCGTTCCACTTCTTTGAGTTTCTCACTAAGGTTGTAAAATTATGAAAACACTTCATAGACGAGGGGCTTGGAAACTAGCAGGTAATTTAGAGTTAACAACTGAGTTGAAAACGTAAATTGGCCACCGTAAAGAGAAAAAAAGCTGACTTTTCAAGCGTTAGCCCTTCGTCAGAGCGATTATTGGCCCTTCGTCAGAGCAATTTATTTTTTCAACTCAGTTGTTAACACTAAATAAATTACCTGCTATACTCTCCCACCGACGCAGCACTACGGTTTCTTTAAAAACTTTCCCCCTTTATTCGCTTAGACATCAGGTCGACTTTGTACTCAAAATGAGAAATGAAGTATTCGCTGTAGATATTGTATTTATCATGTCAACTTCACACGCTTTATAAACAATAGCCTCTATTTGGCGCTAAAATATGCACAGATATTTGTTACTGGACATTATTTGTTTCAAACTGTGAACGGTTTTCCAACAGCGAAGCTCGAGGAAAACCGTAAGCATCGAGGAAAAAATAATGTCCAACAACAAATATACGAGCTTTTATTCGCACTAAATAGAGGCTTTTTTGTTTATTATCCTTCAAATATTTTGCAAAGAGCGTGAAAAAATGTACGCGATTAGCTAACTATTTTTTGCGTAAGATTTTTTTTCCTTCAAGTGTCCTCTGGTACGACTTAATGAACAAAGCTATTTTCCTTCTTTTGTAACAACCACAAAATGCTCTCTCATTTTGAATCAAATTTTAAATGAAGACTTATCGTAGTGGACGTAAGGTTTAAAAAATTGGGGAATGTGACCTAGGTGATATCTTTGGATATACTCAAGCTTTAGCAGAGGAATATTCAGTCACTTGATGTGTTTAAACCAATAGTGCGCCACTAAAAAATATTTGATGGTTCATAACGTGTATTGATTGAATCCTCTCAACCAGCCAAGTCTAATATATTATATAACCATTTAATTTCGATGAATTTTTCTTTTGGTGCTTGTGATCTGATGTTGTGATTCTAAACGGACTCGATATTGCACTTGGTAAATGATAAGCTGTGATTTTATACACACAATGAATTTGTCGGTAGAAGGTATAGTTTGAACCAAGTATCATAATTTGTTATTTTCAATCTAACTTAGCACTTACTCTCAATGATGTTGTCCCACATAATTGTGACGTAACTATCTCTGTCAGGACGAGACTGCTCGTGGTAGAAACCCAAGGCATGCCCTGAAAAGTAAACAAATTCAATTTTAGTCACGTTGTTGTCACTATAACTGGTTGTAGAGGAATGTCCTAGAGTAACTTCTCACGATGTTTGTAGCCAACTGCAGAGCATATTTCTACGATATCCAACGGATAAGGGTAGAAAAAGAAAAACCGGCTAGACCATCCATCGGACAGGTTTTGGTCCAATGAAAAGTGTTATCCACCCTTTAAACAGCGGGGGCATGTTTCTGAATTATTATTTTGTTTACTTTACTAACCAATTTCGTGAGCTACAATTCCTCTGTACCAACATCCGCTGGCGAGATTAATATCTTGACGACTGCCTGTTCTTCCTACGTACGAGGAACATCTGAAAATGACACCAAATAGTAACGTTTCACACTTTTCTATCTGTGTTTTTTCTGTTATCAACCCCAGTTATCCTAGTTATTACAATGATTAGATTGAATTGAATTGCTGGCTTGTTGATTAATCAATCATTGATTCATAATATCGATGGATTGATTAACTGACTGACAGACTGACTGATTAGCCCTTTAAAAACCTTTAGATATGTTTGCAAATTCTCCATACTTTTCTTTATTCGTTATCTGAGGTGCAAACAATGAAAGAGAATTTGTTTAACACGTAAGATCTTCATAAGTTGGTGATCGTTATTCTCGTGACTTTAACGAGTGCTTCAAGAGTGATATTGTAAGGAGAAATTAGATGCTTGTCACTCGTAGAGCCAAGGGTTAATCTTAATAGCTGTCGATTGTTTTTTAATGATTGTTTTATCATTTTTTTTTTTCATACATCGTCTGTTTATTTATTCGTTTTAGTTTTGCACAATCGTGCCTAAGGAATACGAAAATCTGAGCTACTCTTCTTAGTGTTGTTAGGGTCATCTTGCAAGAGTTGTTAAGATTTTAAAGAGCCCATTACCCAGAGCCAACTTTGAAGTTGGCATAAGCTCGTTCATTTGTCCTCTTCTTGAACCGGATACATGTTTTGCTTGTCCATTCCTCCATTCCTTCTCGGATGGCATTCATTGCTCTGGAATTACGAGCTTTATTCATAGAAGTAAAACATGGGCTACATGTAAATGAATTACTACTAATGATCGACTGTAAAATAACATTTGATATGTCTTTGATTTAAGTATATGACGGCTTTTTCAACGCCACGAAGTTTTTCCTTTCTCTATAAACCTAAAGTTGATAATTAATCAAGATTTCACAGATCTTCCACCTATATACGAGAATTTCGTTGAAACCTTATAAGATGAGAGGGAAAGAAATATAACAACAAATTTATGAAAGAATGGCTGGATAGAACGTTAGAGACATGAATAATAGAAGCCATACAGTTTTTCATCAGCGATCATGTTTCATATCTTATGAATTTAATAGAATGAAACTCGTTCCTCCACTTTTTGACCATCTTCTTTCTTCTTATAGAAGGAATTTCTAACAGAATGATAATTTTGTTTTTTTTCTTTTCAATTAATGGCCCGTACATTCTTTATATGGCAGTTTTCTTAGGAGTAGCCAAAACACAATACTATTTTCTATTGTAAGCCGCGAGGTTAATGTAACTTGCAATTTTCTCGACCTGATAGCGAACGCTAATCGTGTAGAAGTTCTAAAATATCAAAATTAATTACATTCTTTGCATTATTTTCCTACAAAAAATTAACACTGGCGTCGCTGGACTAAGAAACGAATGTAATGAACCATATACTTACATAGACTGGAGTCAATGACGTAAGCCATCACCCCTCCCGGCCACTGCCTGTTTTTGGTTGAACCTCTCCCCATTGGATCATCCACATCTAGTCCCATTTCGGCCGCCATGCGCTGATCGGCTGTTAATATCATGTCCCCTTCATAAAGATCGTCACCCTCTACAAGGAACGTTCGTTTTAGGTTATTTAAACTTCGCGTTCGGTTTTACCCTAATGGGCTTCATTTACGACAAACCGTACTGTTATTTTTAGTATCAAAATACCAATCTGAAAATCGTTTACTTTTCACAGCTTATCCATAACAAATTATATCACTTTGACAAAATAAAACAAAACGGCATTTGGGCTCGAGTGATTAAATGCTTTCAGTTTCAATAGTATATTTTAATGCTCCACACTAATGCATAACTATTCAAATGACGATTATTTGGAATGAATTACTAAATTACAGATGTAAGTGATATTTTATCTCTTTTTGTAAGATTTGGAACTCTCGCATTCTGGGGGAAAAACTAAGTACTTTTGAGTCTACATGGTTTATGGCCTTTGGTGACCTTGGTAAATCCCAAAAAAGGACTTTACAGTGAATAAGAATCTTCCAATCGTATATAAAAAAGTTCTAACAATACTCATAGAGCTAAAATGTGAAATTTTTTACCTTCAGGATTCTTGGCGAAAACGACTCCGCACAGAACAAAAAGGCAAAGCCACTTCATGATGCCTCCCAGCGGTGCAGAAACAAAGTTGTGAAATTGTTTCATTTGCAGCAAATTTATTGACCAGCAATTGTTCGCTCACCTGAGAAGCTGTTCAAGTTTTAATAAGTTCTTCTGTTTTTCTCTTTAGATGACGTTGCGTAAATTCAATTAACATGGTAAAGTTGTAAGATCTTGTTCAAATACATCTGTTACAGATGCAAGGAGGTAAAGAATTTTTTTTTTCACGTAGAGCAATTGGACATCTTCTTTTTCAGAAGGAGGGGAATATGTGGGTACGTGCAATCATAAGCAAGTGATTCAGGCATCCCTGAAAATTGGCCTGTGCCCATTTATACTCCTTGGTGGTAGAGGGCACCGTGAGAGTAATGTGTGTTTCTCAAGAACCCAAGACCCAGCCATGTCTCGAACCCAGATCCTTCGACCCGTCTAGTCTAATACATTAACTGTCAACCAACTGCGTCTCTCATAACACTTTGGCTAGTTAGTCCAAATTGTAAATGAAAACCAACCCTAATTTAGGAGGGATATGGTACAAGAAATTCCTTAAAATTTTCAATCTGTTACTAAAAATTGAAGGAATAAAAATATAAAAATTAAGCAAGCAAACGTTACAATTTATTCAGGATTTTCTTCTATTATGGTTCAGTTTTTTTCACTCATGAAAACATATTTTGTCTACTTTGAACTTGTCAAACCTTTTTTTGACGTATAGAAAATCTTTATTTAAAAAAAAATTTTCGTTTTCATTTCAAGCGTTACTTATTGTTTATTGTGGAAAATGTCTGTTTAAATGTCATCAAATTGCTGCGGATTTAAAAAGCAAACAGAGAATATTCGAAAGCCTCGAGAACCCCAGTAGTATTGAAACAGCTTAAATCTTTAGAGCAAGCAAATTGTTCTTTGCCTTTTTTTTTTATTCCGGCTGGAAGTGAGTAAAGACACTCTTATGTAATAATAGTTCTTCCTTGACTTCGATCTTGACTTCAACCCTAAATAGTTCGTATCTAAAATTTTAGTCCAAGATTACTCCTTTTTTTTAAAACAAAATCAGTCTAGGAAATCCAATAAACACGTGTTTTTTCGATTTAACGGCACAAGTGATGGTTGGGAAGTTGTCTTAATTGCACGTATCTTGAGCAAGTTCATTATAGAATCGTTCAGGCAAAATCTAGTTGTGGACTTTTTGACTTACTATACTATACATTCGTGATTAAATACTAAGGAAAAAAATTTTTTTTGAGTGTGTAATATCAATCAAAAAATATCCATGTTCAAAGATTATAGCATTATGTGCAATTTTGTCGTTAGCTTTTTTTTTTTTCTTTGGTGGTTCGTTGCTTAATCACGAATCACGAAGTACCGTTGCTCGGCTAAAACAAACCGTAAATAATTATTTGTAAGATTGTCAAAAACAGTATTCACGTTCATATTTCTATGTGTAATGTAAGTATCGCAGCTAATTACGAATCATCAACCCATGCAAATTCTTTAAAGAGTAACATACATCACTACAACGAAACATACAAGCAAAGGCAAATTTACAGGCTGCAATATTTGGGAGACGCAGGAACTCTTTGGATTCCCAGTCGAGCAGCCCTGCACCTTCAGACGTAGGACACCTCTCCCGAACAACGTATTTGAGATTCTTTCACCCTTCTCCCCCATCCAACATTGTTAATCGCCAATGTTTCTCTGCCATCTTGCAGACCAACATGGAGAGGGGCATGAAAGACTGTATGTGTCGCAACAAAGGTGTCTGCCCGGTCATTGTGTTGTGTTCCTGGGAAAAACGCATTACTTTTACAGCGGCTATACCAAAGAGTACATATGAGAATGGGAATTTTGTAATAAACATCCACCAGGTGGCTTTTCTTGTCTACTGTCTCTAGGTTGAATTAGAATGTTGGTTTTTTAGGAGGGAGGAAAACCGTAGGACCCCGAGAAAACCCTCCGAGCAAGGACGAAAACTGACAGCAAACACAACCCTCATGTGAAGCCAGGTCTGGGAATCGAACTCGAGCCACAGTTGTAAGTGGCGAGCGCTCTCACCACTGCACCATCCCTGCTACCTATGAAGATGGAGTAAGTATAAATTGTTAGGGAAGTCTGAAGAAATGTCGTACTCAAGGTCAAGATTGGTGTTCAATCACCATTGAGGAATTGCGCTGCCTTTTTGCTGATATCAGCGATAGGTTAGAAGTCATTTCTAGTTGACCCGTTCTCTACGTCGTTAAGGAATATTAAACAACTCGGACATTCATTGAAAAGAAACTCTTTTGGTTGCATGTGGCAAAATAGGCCAAACCACTGATATCTATGGACAGGTAGCCGAAATCTACCTTAACAACTTAACTTCAACATTTTTTGGCACTTTCATCAACTCAAAATTCGATACAAAGTCAGTTTATCATCGGTGATTTCTTTATTATGCTTTTAAAATCAATTGACACGTCAAAAATTGTCAGGTAAGGTATGTTTACGAAGGAATGTGAAGGTACAAATAAAACGAGAAACAAACAAATTACGTGAATATTTCTTCCTTTATTCAATTCTACCCTATTCTTGGAAGTGTGTTTTGCTTTGCCGGTGAAAACCAACCTGCAAAAAGAAATAATGCTGAATTTATCTGTTTATTAAAAAAAAACCAGAAACAAACAAAAAACAACAAACGGGAGTTAAATTTTTTTAAAAGAAATTTCGTTCTTGGTAGAGTTTTGGAATTAACGGCCTTTATAGTTAACGAAAATAAACGAAAGGAGGGCTAATGACCATCATGACCAAAGAAATGGGCTGATTCACACGAATCTTGGAAAACTGTGCTAATGTTCATTCAGCATGTGGTCAATGATCTTGAACGTCACGCAAGCGAACTGCCCTTATTTAAGGTTCAGGGAGTACCTGCAACGGTATTTACCTTCTTGGCTATTAAGTACCTGAGGTCTAGAAAACTTAAGTTGAAGTTCAAAAGAGGAAAACGTAAAATTGAATTATCTTACGATTCCAGCCAAAGCTTAGCACAGCTTGCAAGTCTTCCTGCAATTCTTTCTCACGCTCTCTTCTTTGCATTTTTGTGCCATCTTAAAACAAAGTTTGCCTCTGTCCGCACATGGCAGAGGTTTGGGTTTTCCTAAAAGAAACAAAATTCCTCTTAAATTGTACTACATGTACTTCAGTTACATATGTAAATGAAAGTTAAATTTTCATCTTATGATATTGCATTTCTGGTGTTCTGATTGCTTCGCTTAACTCCGGTAATCAGCTCATCACCCGAAAGTTGAAATTAATTAGGGAATTTTACTTCCCATGCGATGGAAATAAAGTAAAGCAATTTCGAATCAATTTCATTTCGGTTACAAAAGTTGCAAAAGGTGCATTGTTGATACATACCGACTGCACCTGCCCCTGCGTCTTCTGGGCACACTCCTTTGTAGAGAAGATTCATCTGCAGTATCTCGCTGAGCGCATCCCGCTGACCCATTTTAGAACTGGCCTGGAAATATCGGAATGAGTTACACTTGTATGTAATTTTGCTGTTATTTCAAAAAAAAAATCCCATCAAGAAGTCTATTTTAGCTTCATAAACACCGACCAGACAAACAGAGTACTGTGGGTGTCTGCTGATCCCTTTTACCCTTTCAGGTGATTAGCATCTCATTTCTCCTCACAGTCACATCAACACAGGAAACCCATAACCATTCATCACAGCTTACTTGTTAGAGGGTCTGAATGAATTATCCATTAGCCGTAAAACAGCCAAAAAAAATCTGACCCTCAGACGTTGAAATTGACAAATTTTAAGTGTTAGTCATACAGAAGTTAGCCGTAGAAAGTCTCTCTCTTAATCTCAATGGAAGGAAGTAAACCATTAGCCGTAAAATGGCCGAGATTTTTAACCGCTAGCCGTGAAAACCATCATCCCATTATGACCCTCTTGTTAGAACTATCGTAAATGTATCCGAAATCAAGAGCTTTTTCATTGAACTTACCCCCGGCATCTTGGTAAGGATGGGGGGTTCCGTTCTTGTTAAATACCATGCTCCCATAATGCATAATGCTCCCGAAATCATACTTAGTCCCGAGGGAGTCGATGGTTGAGCGAGAGTATTTTTTGAAATTACCCTTTTTTCCTTAAAAAAACTTTAAAAAATATTAACAATAAAATTGAGACGCATTTTTCCATGACCTCCATAGGTATTTTTGTTGGGCCAAAATGGTTTGAATGTAACTTCTAAATGTTGCGCAAAAGACTTATGTAGAAATTGAATTGTTCCTCATTTTTACCCTGATGTTTCATGATCTGTCACACTCCAAAAACCAGATTAAAAACTAAAACTAATCCTTGTTTGGTCATTTGCGTTTCCTCACTTTTCATGCATTTTTCCCTTTTTCACTTGGAGTTCTATCGGCCAAATGAAGATATCAACCCTCTCTCCAACCGGCTGTTGTATAACTTTGCTTTCGGTTTTTCGAAACTCAGATGAAAACTGCTCTATGTATTATCAAGGGCTTGTTGAGTCACTACCTACTATGGCGAGGAAAGTGATGATTTTATCTTTTCGCCTAGAAGATACTATAGGATAACGTTTGTAAGATACCATGGGCTGAATCGCTGAAATCTATTGTCAGGGGTAGATTTTATCTACTCATCATCTTCAATGTTTTCCCGTAAGATTTTTACATATTTATCTCTGTCAGGGCGAGACTGTTCGTGATAAAAACCCAACGCATGTCCCTAAATAAACAAAACAAACAAAGTTAACGTTTAGTGTCAACCTTATCATGACGAATGTATCATGAAGGGATACGAACCACAAGAATTAACGAACACGGAAAATTTAGGTCAAAAATTGATAGGGTACGGGATACTCAGACCACTAGTATGCAATTCAGCATGACTAGGAATTCTAGAAATTTCTAGAACCTTATATTCACAGTTATTATCCAGAACACTTTGCAAGTCTCTTCTGCCTGTTCTGAGGCCCCGGGAAGTAATACATATGTCGGGATGGCGTCCTATTAATTCGATCAACATATACCTACTTATGGCCAATACTTACCAAGTTCGTGAGCGACAGTTCCCATGGACCAGCAACCGTTGCCCAAGTTAACAGATTGAGGCTCATCATGCCTTCCTATCTTGGACGAGCATCTGATAAACAAACCAAAACGTTTCAGGTTTATTTCCATTGTTATTCCCCTCTTAACCTGCCATGTACTGATGCGCGCTTTGATATTCACATGCGACGCAGAACCTTCACATAAACATACCGTTATTACATATGCTGCTATTAGTCCACACAGCCCACCTCGCTGCCAATCTACAGCGCACTTAGACTTAAAACTATTTAGCTGCTAAAGTCAGTCGCTATGTCTTTCTAATTGTTCGTAACCTCAGAGCATAAATAATAGTTCAAACCTTTTTCTTTCCCTAAATAATGCTAAAACGCACCAACGACTGGACGGAGTTTTAGAATTCATTCGTTTGATTTACGCACGCTGAGATATTGAATTGATGAGAAAGAAATCGCTGTTTGAGACACTCTATGAGAACCCAAAACTCTGCCACTGAGAGATATTTATTTATTTATTTTGAAAATTTTTATATATTTTTAATTCTTGTATTCATCCGAAAATTTTTATATATTTTTAATTCTTGTATTCATCGGAAAATTTTTATTATAAATTCATTTAATAGAGTAGATGACGAATTGCTTGAATGAAATTTACCCAGCGCCTTTATGGAATATGGCGTATTGCTTTTCATTTGTTCTTTTCTTGAAGCGGATACAAGTCTTGCTCGACCATTCCCTCATTTCTTCTTGAATGGCTTTTACTGCTCTTGGGTTGTTAGCTAATGGAAAAACAAACAAAACAAGAAAACAAACGTAGCCATTACTAATAACCTTTAAGTTTTAGGTGTACTGAGGTCATGCTGCAAGCACTTTTTATCGCAGAGTGGTGAATTAGCTTCCTTCTCTCCGGGCATTTTGTTTAAAAGTGCACATGGTTATATTTCGATTGTCTTCGGTCAGCTGTGTTGATCTTCCTCATCCGTCCTAGCTCCTCCTTTTGTGACGTAATTTTTAAAATTTATTCTCCACACCACAATAACAATTTACTAGGAAGCATGATAAGCTAAATACAAAAATGTGAATAGGGAGGAAATCTAATTGAAAGTGCGAGCCTTTTATCATATGAGGTTTGCTTTTCTCTCAAAAGTTCGAACTAAAATATAACATAGAACAAGATGCTGAAGCCTGATTCGGATCAAGGGGAAAACGAATAAGTTAGTAGTTGATTAGATTAATAGTTTTTTGGTAACTTCAGATTTTTTAGGGACGCTAAAGTGTTTACAAATTTCCAACTAAGGATATTGAAAAACGTAGGATCTTCAAGGGAGACGGAAAACTGCTTTATACTTTTCAGAAGGAAAAGTAGATATTTAAGTCTACTGGGATTTTGTCTCAGAGGTGATTTGCTGTATAGGCAATTGTTAGTGCGCACCGCACTTAAGATTCATATAAATTTTGTTTGAAAGCATATCTGGTGTTGCATCCATGAATGCTACTTGCATATTAATAATGATTTTGGAACAAATCCGCCGGCAGGCCTTTGTGCTAAAAGCGGACATGAACTAACATAGCTGCAAGAAATGAATACCGTGTATTTTAAGTAAAATAAATTCTTTTAACATTGGTTCAGTAAAACATCACAACCTGACCTGTTTTCTTTCCTTATCGCCTATTTTTGTAATGTTATTAATCTTTTCAGATAAAACGCAAGGAGATATGGGGATTATATTCCTCATAACTGAAGCTATATTTGTTTTCAACTAATTAGCAAAAAAAGTTAGAAATGGAATTGAGGGAAAGAGTCTGGTTGAGGGGTACAGAAACCATTGGCGTTATCTGGCCGGGGCCCTGTGTGCATAAACGCACAAGGTAAATATTGCCCCGTCCACCCTGACCTTATTCCGCTTTCCAAGTGTTATGAAGCGACAAAGAGTATTACGACTGCCCCTGGATGGGAAGCTAGTCCTTTGCAAGGTTCCCTCCTCTCTCCAACATTTCATAAGGCTGCCCTGCCCTGCCCGCCGGTACTCATATAAACTCCTGGGTGAAGGAAGGCACTGGTGTTCAGACCAAGAACGCAACGCGTTTGGTTGACTCTCGACGAGAAATTAAAACTACAGACAACGTCTCTTCTTCGGGAGTAATGTATTTCTGTGCTCAAAGTGACTCTTCTTAAAGCTCCACAGAGCCGTGCTGGATCTCATGCATTATCTAATCTATAACACATATACTAGTACGACTAGACGCAAAAAAGAGGTTGGGATGAGGGGTTTGGAAGAGACGTGAGGTAACGCCCAGACACTTGTTTTCTCACCATAAAGCTAACCAACTCCTGGCCCATTGACCTTGCAAGACCATGACAGAAATTCTAGTCTAGTAGTGTTTGCTGGATTTAGGGCAGCGAAAGGATTTAAGTTCGCCACCTTGAAACGTCTGACGGTTTGATTCCCTCTACCAATAATAACATAATTACAACCCCCATTAACGAAAAAAAAGATTATCGTGCCTGAAATTCTTTATTGGGACACGTTTAATTTTAGTAAGATCAAGAGATCCTGTTAAGATGTAATGACAGGGCTGCAGTATGATCTTTTTTTTTTTCAAACCCATACAGGCCTGAAGCAATTCCTTACAAGCACAAAACAAACAAACAAATCTATGTGAGTTGCTAAAAATAATCTTTCTTTCGACGGCTTTAAACGATTGGTGTCACTAAGGGTAACGGGAGTTTCATGAATACTACTCACACGTACCTGCTCAAAATTTTGCCTCTGGGCGTTCTTTTGGATTGAACTTACTCGACGCTCTCTCAAGAAGCTAGGAAATGAAATACTGAATGCATTCGAGTTGCTTTTAATCACTAAAATTCGTTTTGATAATGCAATTCGAAGCAATTACAGGGCTGTTATGATCTTTGTTTGAAAAAGTTTTCAAAACGATCCACTGCCGAATAAGGGAATTCATGATGATTGTTTACAATTCCAGTCCTACAATACAACTCTAATTAAAACAATTGGCACACTCTTTTTTATGATTTAATAAGGTTATTACATGAGGGAGTTATTCAAAATGTTCACCGCTGACGTGGAGGATTTGAAAAAAACTGATGAATAAAGAATAACAAGTATACCAGGTAATATTATATAGATATCTTCAAGGAACATAGTATGTGCTTTGGTTGATTTTATTAGCCTCGTTTCAGTATGACGAGGACGTCCGACAGAGAAGGGAAAAATGGTTATTGAGGTTATCACTAACGAGCATTTCAACATCTATTATTTTATTTAGACCGTTGAAATGTGCCCTAAGTGAAATTATTCTCCAAGAGATAAATTGGAAAGTAAAATAACACATTTATGGCTCTCTCAATGGAATTTTGTAGAAATTTATAAATTAACACTTCTAAAGAAGGACAAAAACGCAATTATCCAGGAGTTTTTAACAATGTTCATATAATTTTTACCCATGATGAGTTTGTTGCTAGGGGAGTCCGTTCTTCAGCCTTGGTTTGTATGCTTAGATTATCTCTGGTGTTTTCTGGGCATTATATTGACATGATATTGGTTAACGGATGATCGTGCTAGCCGCATTTAAGCTCAAAAGTTTTGTTTTTCATTAGTGCAATTATATTTAAACAACACAATTTAATTGGTTTTCTTTGCTAATGGATAAAACCAAATTTTTTGTTCTTAACGAGCACTTTTTATCCAGTGCATTCATTATTTTACCAAGCTAAAACCTGGAATGATACCTTTATTTTATTCAAGGATCCGTGGAAAATAACATATGTGTTTAATGGGTGTCGTTGTTGCGCTCTACATTTTCCTTATTAAAGCCTTTTCGGATATGCATCAATCCGGAGTTAGAACAGTTAGAATCCCCTAACGAGTGAATTTGCTCATCATTACTACTTTCTAATACTTGGGCACCCAGAAACAGCATTAGAGAGCTTTGCAAGTAAATCATATCTTATGAAATAGTATCTTCTCAGAGGATCGCCTACAAAAATATTTTTTCATATTTTCAGGTATCGTGGCGCATTTTGTGGCTTGAATTGGAGAATTTGGCTAAAAAACATTTTGTCTTGCTGTTGAGGCGAAAGAAGTCAAAGCGAAAGAAGTTGAGATGAAAGAAATCACATCTTTTCTAAGACCGAATCATTTCTGAAACGTAGAATTCAACGATGAATTATTGGTAAATTAAGAATCCTCGGAGATAGGGGAAAGAAGATTTTCAAAATTAGAAGCTTTTCCCTTTAATAAAAAAAGGCACAAAGATATGCCTGTTGGGGTAACTTAGTGGCTAGCGGAGAGAAACAAATTCACATTGAGTTCAAACCTCAACCTCTCACTGGATCACGACAGAACGTCTCAAAATCAGACCGATTTAAAACCACATTCACAGCGCACAAGAACGGCTTACATCGCTCGCAAGACGTTATGATACTAAAGTATTTTTATAATGTTGCTATGGCTAAGTCGATTTGCCTCAGAGCATCCTACCACTCCTAATCTTAAGCGAGACCAAAATATGAGGCATAATATTTTTATTCTTACGCAATTACTGATTTTGAGTCAATCGGAGTGGCATTCTTGAGATTCAGCACCATCTATCATGTAAGCGCGATCAGAATGAAATAAGAGATTATATGGACAGGCGGGTTACGTCACCCACCCAAGCTCCCCCCTCATTGCCCCCCTAAAACTGTTATTTATTTTTAGTTTGAGGATAAGTTATTGAACTGTTTTTTTTCATTGGAGCTTGTTTGTTCAAAACACGATTTCTTTTAGATTTACTGTGCGTTGTCTTTCCCAAAAGTTTTAAATTCTGAAAAAACAACCTTAAAAGAACTGCGTTGGCAACGTGGATCAATATCAGTATCTGGGCAACTGCCCA